TTAATAACACAATTGATTGGTCTGTAAGACTCTAAATTCATTTGACTAAAAACCAAAGCAGCCAGATATTTTGTGAAGCTGATTTGATTGCCAATCTTCTATTACACTTATTTGGCTAATATATAGGATAATATCTGTTCAGACATGACACAAAAATACAATAAAAAAAAACATTCATCACCTCACCTCACTGTTATCATCAATCAGTTCAACTCAAATCTGGACCATTCCTTTAACATCTTTTCCAAACAAAACCAGACATTGATTTGTTTTTTTCCATCAAACTTCCTCTCACACAGATTCTCTCGGGTTCAGTTCCCGCGCGCGGTTCTGAGAACGCAATACAGAAACAAAAACTGGAATAGGGAAGGAAAGAATGAAAGATTTTGACCTTGAATCATTGCCTAAGATTAGAGAACCAAAACAATTTCAAGAATTGATGAGAACATCTTGTCTATCTTTTCATGTATAGTATAACAACATTTCCTTAAAACTCTCGCTAAATAATGTCTCTTCCAAGAGTTTGATCTACTTGATACAATGGAAACATCCAAGACTGAACCTGCAAGAGTCATTGCAAACACATTAGCTCATACTCAATTATACCATTGAATCTGATCAATGCAACACTTTCAAAACCATATTTCATAGCTCTTCGCCGAGCGATCAAATATCAAGCAATTCAAGAATGGAGATTATGAGGAATGAGATAAAGCTAACAAAATTTTCCAAAAAGTATTCATTTGAAGAAAATATCACTATCACTGTCTTTTTTTCACTCATAACACTAAATCCTTAGTGACAATTCTGCAACTTGTGAATATACAACTCAACATTGAAAAAACCACAAAATCTAGCGACTATACATACAAATAAGCACACTGGAGTGATCTTAATGCATAAACACTTGTTTTGTAAGATTATTCTGAAATTTTGTTGAACAGTTTAAAGGTGTTTCAGTTCCAATCTCTCGATTCAAGCAATAGCACATTAGAACCTTGAATAAATCTCATAAACTAGAATGTTCTATAAATCCATGAGAGACCAAAAATCAATTTGAAAACAGAAATTATCATGATTTCTTACCTTGTTAACCCCACGAACCGCAACGCAATCTCTCGAAGTCTCGAACAAAGACAAAGAGTATTGTTTTTTAACAACACCAACGTCGAAGAATATAAGACCAGAGCTCGGTACGTCTACTCGGATTCCTTTAACCGGAAGCCACAAAAAGAGCTCTTGCGCCGAGATTCCAGACAAGTCCACGATTTTAGCATAACCTATCGTCCCCGTTATGTTCGTGTCGTAATGCAGCTCTGTCTCGTACTTTGCGTCGCATGATTGGTTCAAATAAACCGAGAATCGTCCCGTTTTGTCGTCGAAGTTGAATCCTCTCACGCCTTTCGGGAATATACCCACCGGTAATCCGTTCGCCTGAAGGATCTCGTATATAGTCTCGCTCTCGGAGATCGCCGAGATCCCGGCGACGAGAACGAAGCAAAGAAGCGTGATTTGCAGAATACGAAGCATCGCCTTTTCTTTTTTTTCTTTCTCGAATTCAAGATTGGGTTTTTATTTTTTTTGGGTGCCGATCTCTTCGTTTCGTTATTATCAGGGAATTGAAATTAATGGGTTTAAGCGAAGAAGGAGAAGGAAGAAGACGACATTTTGGTGACAGCTTGAAACAGAGTGGATCAAGAAATTATTGATGGCGGAATTTGGATGGAGCAGTAATCTTGTGCTTCTCAGGCTATTGATAGAGGAGCCAATGAATGTGTGCCACGTGTGTAAAATCCCCCGATGCAAATTCGTTAAATTTGGGTACTAGTTTCGTTAAGCCATGTTCTAACTTGTAACGCGTTATTGGAAAAAAGTAGGTGGACCGTATCACATGGGAACAAAAGAGGCATGTGTTAGAGGTGAATCGAGAGATGCCGCAGTCCGAAATGTAATTAGATTTCTTTACATATTGGATTATATAAAATCTGCCTTATTTAGCATTAAAAAATATACACAATTATTCACTTTCTCTCCAATTTTATTTAGCATAAAAAAAATATACACAAATATTCACTTTCTATCAAACTCGATTTTGTAATCTCCTAACAAACTAAATCTGTTAGCATGTTTTCCTTAAACCCTCAATCTATTTTCTTTTTTTGTTTTAAGTGCTTTTTACTCTACAAATTTTTAGAATTTAAGTAGTTTATGTGGTAAGAAATATTACGATCTTAGATTAATTTCGGATCAAAATATTTGAATTAAAGAAAGAAA